GAGCTTTTATTGTGCTCTGGTGGGTGTCTCAGGGATTTTGTTGCAGACTGGCAACCATGTGATATACGTTGAAAATCTGAAGTCAGAGCTCATCAGCAGAAAACATTATCTGTACAAGTTTGCTCACTGACGTTCTTTATTCTTTGATTCTTTAATTAATGCATAATTCATTACTCTTTCACTTGGATTTTAGACTGCATGATTTGCAATGGTGTGGTGAAAGCAGTACTTTAACAAAATTGAGGGTTATGGTGATACTTCTCTGAAGACATTTTCTACTAGACTTGTACACAAGGAAGTAAAAACTTCTGATTTTTTAATGCATAAAAGACATCATAACTCTCTATATTTTTATAGATTGCCCTATTCCAAATTCTAACTACTATAGAGGAACATCTGTAATGGCATTGAATATTTTATTTACTTGAAAAAGCTTGTGTCTTGAAGCTAAATATTTTTAAAGTAACCTTAAGCCTTTCTGTCTTCTGTCATATTAAATCCCTGCTACCTTTGGGAGAAGTTTCCTCTGTTTTATTTATTTATTTATTTATTTATTTATGCTAAAATGTGTCTTTTTTTTTTGACAGTGAGTAGTTCCTTATTTTGCAAGTAGTTTCACTAAAATTAATCCTTTTAGTATATGGGATAACTTGTGCAGTTAGATGGTACTCACCATGAGTAAAGGGACAAAATCTAGTGCTGTAATAGCAGCTGATATTTTTGTACACTTTTTTTTTTTTATCTGTGACCTCTAATTAGTAATTGCTTCTTGTTTTTGCCTTATTGGATACAGCATGCCAAGTAAGGAAAATTGATAAAATACAATGTGTTCTTTCTCCTCTCTCTAAACAGTAGCATATCAGAACATGACCTGTCAAGCATTTCCAAACACATGCAGAGAATGACACTTTGTGATGGGTGGAAAACAGTACAGTATACAAGAAAAAATAAAACAGTCTCTCAAAGTGTAAATAGTCAGAAAAGTGTTTTACAGATTTCAGTATTAGTTTGCAACTATTGAACAGTAGAATGCTGTATTCTTTGCATAAAAACATAGTTATTCAAATTTAAGACAAGGTGTTTTTTTTAACTCAGTCAACATGGAGTGGGAGGGGGAGGGGAAAGCTAAATCATTTCACTTTTGCATACAAGGAAACCACATTAAATACATTTCCAATCTTCAAACCACTGCTAAAAGCAGCATGTACTTACTAATGGAAATCAACTACAAGGTTGATTAAATGTAGCCAACACTGAGCCAACAATGACTATAGAACACACAGACCAGCAGCCCATCTGAACAAAATTGAGCACAGTCCCCCTTAGCACCAACTCTTTTTCAAGTCAGAGTAAGCCATTACATTTCAATGTCCTCTTTACTCCCACAGCTGAGCTGCATCTTTCTTTCCAACTTCCAATGATTTCTGCTTTTTCACCATCCTTAAATGTCTGGCAAACACCACTAAGCAGGGTACCAAACTATTTATCCAGAATCTTTCTGCCCCCCCCACCCCCTTCGCAGCCTGCCACGTATGATTAGTGTGGTCCTGCCCTCCATGAGGTGAAGCCAGACCAGGTTCCCTGGGGACAACTAGTGGTGGTGCACCTTGTGCTGCCTCTAGTTGTCTCCAGGTAACACCCATGCCATGCATGCTCTGGTGGGTGGCAGGTTTCCCCGGGTCAGGTAGGGAAGGCTGGGGCCAACACTGGGCTGGTCCTAGCAGCCTTACCTGGGGTCCTGGGGGCCTCTTGGTCCTTCAGAAGCAGTGATTCTGCCGTGCGGAGCCTGGCCTGCAGCTGCAGTGCACCACTCTGCTTTTTTTTGCAGCATGGAGAACAACTGAATGTGCAGTAGGGACCACAGATGTGTCTGTGGTGCCACATACCAAATGCCTGCACTTGCCTGAACGTGGCCGTAATGAATAGTGCTGAGCTGTGGGGTCACCATGGATTGAGATGCTGTTTCACCTGCTGGGGCCCAGCCTGATGAACTATATGGCCTTTTGGACTAATATCATGCTTAGTTTGTATTTTCTCTAAATAGATATTAAAGCGCTAGACGTTTGTTTATGGAATAGCTATACTAAACCTTGCAGTAGTTAAAAAAAAAAAAAAAGTATTATTTCTGGGTACACTAGGACTATGGGTACTATATGCAAATTGCTATACCTGAGTTTATTTTAAAGTGAATTTTCTCAAATTTGTTCCTCACTTCCATTTGGGATGTCAGGGTCTGAGAATAAGGACAGGGAAATGGTCTGTGGTGGAAGAAGTTGGGGTAGACAGAGGGGCTATCTGACCCCCTAGATTTATTTTCCCATATGTAGCAGTGGGAAGGGAACAAATTCAAGGCAAACCTCCAATAATTAGATTCTATACCTGGAAAATTATATCAAGTCTATATTTCCAGATATAGAATCTAATTATTGGGGGCTCATCTTATAAGTAGGGTAATACAATATTCAAGTAATAATGATAATTCAGTTGTATGTAGACTTTTAGAGCATGAATTTAATTTTATTGAAGAAAGTAAAGATTTTCAAAATATATTTACAAGCAACTTCTCTGATATACAGATGTCATACCCATTGATCTTAATAGTGATTTTCCTAACATTGTGGGACAGGTTAACATTGTGGGACAGGTCTGCTATTGTGGAATATAGTTGACACTGCATGTTGATCCCAATTCTGAGCATAAGGCTAAGAAAAGATTAGTCTGGATCTTCCTTTGGTTATTCGGCAGTAGTTGTCAGGTTCTTTTTATTCTCCAAAAGATACAGGTAGTTCCACTCATCATCTGAGCCTGAATTTCTCACATTAGGTAGAGGTTGGTTTGGGGGAATTCTGGCAGTTGCTTGAGTCCCCTTCCAACTTGAATTGGAATGTATAACCAATGTTAGCCTTATCATAGAGTGATGACAAATTGGCAGTAATTAAATACAGTATTGGGATACTGCCATATACTTTCTTGATGGGTTCTAATACTCTAATTGTTTTAAAATAGTGTTTCTTGTTTAAGCACTTCGATAAAATTGGAGTTCATGACTAAACCAGACCAAATCTATTTTGGATCTTATTCACTTGCAGATTATGGCAAATATAAATTTAGTGGTTTATATTATTCACTTTTGACTCTGATAAAATCTTATTGTTAAATGAAAAATATACTGTAGGTTTTAACTTGTCAATATAAATGTAAACTATTACAGTTTCACATATGGTATTAGCATTGCTTGCCATGAAGCTTAAAGCTGTTTCTGTCCTTTGTCAACAAAAAGGAAATCAACCTTGAAATGACTATATTAAAGAGCTTTGATGTACTTGTCCACTGTATCCATGCTTCCAGCAGGATCCAGCTATGCAAAAGAAAAATCCTAGCTATTTGTGAGTAATGTTCCATCAATTTTGTTGATATCCACTTTTGAATTCTTAGGGATTTAATTCACACCTACAGTAAATGAAAGGTAATTAAGGCTGAAACTCCTGATGTATAAATGCAACTTTTTTCTGTAGTTTACAGAGCAATTGGTACCTTGTAGTTCTAGGATTATAACCAAAAAAACCTTCGTCTAAGAGTTGTTATAGGGGATTTGTATTGGAACATGATGATTAATAAATGTAGGATGAAATGTTATGAGAATGTAAGGGCCTGAAAAATATTGATTTAGAATTCAGTTTTTCTCAGTAGGAAGATTCAAGACAAATTTAAGTGTAGGCTGCAGAAATGGAAATCCAATCAGTGTATTCACATTGCTGATACATAGATTAACTGTATTTTATCCACTATATCACAATTTTCTGCTTCTTGGATTTTATTTAAGATTGTGAGAATAGTTTCAGGTAATGGGAAAAAAAAAGAAAGGGTTTGAAATGAATCCAGAATATCTTTCACAGTGAACTTCAAATGCACTAGTAAAGAGAATTTTTTGAAAGTGCAATGTAGTTCTGTTGTCTTTATGCAATATATGCAAACATATTGTTTATATAATATATGCAGTATATATATTATTGTGCCACAAAATAGTTACATACATCTAGCATGTGGAGGCTTTCTAGTGGACAGGGATCCTCAAGGTATTCATAACTTTGTAGAGATTACACTGTTCACAAGTGTGTAAATTATCATCTGGCCAAAGTCATCATCTTCATAGGCAATCCTTAATAGTCAAGGATGATTGTCTTCCATGATTATCTTATCTGTGAGTCTGAAGATGGCAGACAAGGCCTCTCTGGGGTCAACAGACTCTGTTGTAAGTTGGGCACATGTTTCCATGTGGAGTGAGTGGCTCTGGGTTTTTAGGCATGTGTTCAAAAGGAGGACAGAGAAAGCATTTCAAGTATGTCCTCAAGGCCAGCTTGAAAACATGCAACATTGGTATCAACTTGTGGGAGACTATCATTCAGAACCACCCCAAATGGAGGAAGAGTCGGCTGGCCAAAGTATATCTTAGTAGAAAGGGAGAGCTCATCTATTTTGACACTGCCACTACAACTCTAAGCATTACATAATGACACATCCATATATAATAATTGAATCAAGAGGAGGACTGCTATCAAGAGATGTGATCCATCTGACCAGAACTGGAAAGAGAATTTTTGAGTGTTGTCTGGCTAACCAAGTAAAGGAGGGGGAGGGGGCTTTAAACTAGGTTCCACAGGGGATGGTGAACAAAATCCTATAGCAGCAGAGCAAACTATTCAGTGGGGAAAGGGCTGGAAGAAGTAGCTAAACTCTGGGAAACGGCCAGAGAACACAGGATGGCAAAATGGTATAAAAGGCAAGTGAGTTGGTCAAAATGAAAAATACGTCCAATTTATATACACAAAATGTGAGAAGTGTGGGAAATAAACAAGATGAGCTGGAAGCTGCAGCATGGGAAGAGAACTATGACCTGGGACAGCTCTTATGACTGGAATGTCAACATTGAGTATTATATTTTGTTTTGGTAGGGCAGGGCTGGGAGAAAATGTGGTGGTGTCACCTTATATATCAAAAACATGTATACATGTTCTCTGGCTCAGAGGGAAGAAGATAGCAGAGCAGAATGCATTTCAGTGAAGATGAAAGATGAAAGATTCAGCAGCAATATAATATTTGGCATTTATTATAGGCTACCAAATAAGGAAGAGGAGACAGGTAAAACACTCTTCAAGGAGGTGATAAATCTATCCAAGAGCTGTGGGATGGTACTGATGGAACACTTCAGGTTTCTGTGGAAGAACAACAAAGCCAAACATAAAATGTCAAGCCAGTTTCTAAGTTGTATGGAGGGCAACTTTCTGTTCCCGATGTCTGGGGATACAACAAGGAGATCATATATCTTGGATCTTGTCCTGAACAATAGGGAAGATGTGAAGGTGATGAGCAACCTGGAAGGAAGCAATCACAATATGATACAATTCCATATCCTGAGGCAGGAAAAGCATAAGATCAGCAGAATTAAGATTCTAGATTTCAAAAAGGTAGATTTCACCCAACTCAAGGATTTGATAGGCACGGCACCATGGGAAGACAGACCCAAGGCTAAAGGCCTCCAGGAAGGCTGGAAGCTTCTAAAGGGCACAGTATAGGAGGCCCAAAGAGAAACTGTTCTGACATGGTGGAAACAGCAGAAGAATGGCAAGAGACCAATGTAGCTACACAAGAAGCTTTTAGGATGCCTCAAAAGCAGGTAGAGCAGAAGCTTTGTTATACGTCACCCCTGGGAAATGCGGGGTGCAGGATAACAAAATATGTCGGTTAACTGAGAGGCCCGAACAGGCGTCTTTGCTTGTTCGGGCTGCTGCCTCTCCCACCACATCGCCGCCCCTCCTGTGGGCCCCACAGGCCCTGACAAACAGGGAGGTAGGCCCCATGTAGGCTGCTGTGCCCTGTGCCATGGGGGATTGGCAGCACAGGCTGCTTTGCCCCGGGCTGTGGGGGCTTGGCATTAATGAAAGTGCCATATTGGGTATTTCCGGTTTCACTTTTACCTTACAGCCGGCATGCCAGTTAATAGATCATGCCAGCTTGTAAGGTGCCGGATAACGCAGCTTTTACTGTAATAGTCAAATGGGCAGATCACTAGGGAAGTGAACCAGGAAATACCAGGGAACCTGCAGGGATAAAGTTAGGAAGGCAAAGATAAAGAATGAACTGCACCTGGTAAAGTAGGTTAAAGACAATGAGGAGAAGTTCTGTAAGTATTTTGGTTTTAAAAGAAAGACAAAGAAAGCTGTGGGTCCACTATCAACCAGTTAGGGTGGACACTTCAGAAAAGATTTTAAAAAGATGGAGCTACTCAATAGCTACTTTGCATCATAGATTCATAGATGTTAGGGTCGGAAGGGACCTCAATAGATCATTGAGTCTGACCCCCTGCATAAGCAGGAAAGCGTGCTGGGTCTAGATGACCCCAGCTAGATGCATATCCAACCTTCTCTTGAAGACCCCCAGGGTAGGGGAGAGCACCACCTCCCTTGGGAGCCCGTTCCAGACCTTGGCCACTCGAACTGTGAAGAAGTTCTTCCTAATGTCCAGTCTAAATCTGCTCTCTGCTAGCTTGTGGCCATTATTTCTTGTAACCCCCGAGGGCGCCTTGGTGAATAAATACTCACCAATTCCCTTCTGTGCCCCCGTGATGAACTTATAGGCAGCCACAAGGTCGCCTCTCAACCTTCTCTTGCGGAGGCTGAATAGATCCAGGTTCTCTAGTCTCTCCTCGTAAGGCTTGGTCTGTAGGCCCTTAACCATACGAGTGGCCCTTCTCTGGACCCTCTCCAGGTTATCCGTATCCCTCTTGAAGTGCGGCGCCCAGAATTGCACACAGTACTCCAACAAGATCAGTCTTCACAAAAAGATTAAGCTACAGCCAGACATCTAATGCAGATTATTTGGACAAGGTAGGGGACAAGATGAGGGTTGAAATAGCAAAAGAGACAGTCAGAGAGCTTTTCATGGATCTGAATGAATTCAACTCAGCAGGTCTTACTGCATTTAATACCAGATACTGAAGGAACTGGCAAAGGAGTTCTCTGATATCAGAAGATATCCTGATAACTGGCCAGGATCAAGTAGAGTGCCCCAGGGGTTTGTCCTAGGGCTGGTTTTATTCAATATTTTTATCACCAACCTGTAAGATGGGATGGACTGTACCTGTAGCAAGCTTGCATATGACACCAGACTGGGGGAAATAATAGATAACCTGGTGGGTAGGGCTGGGATTTAGAGAGACCTTGAAAAATTGGAGGATGGTACCAAAAGAAATCTCAGGAGGTTCAATATGGGCAAGTGCAAAGTACTGCATTTAGGACGGAATAATCCTATGCACCAGTATGGGCTGGGGGCTGACTGTCTAAGCAGCTGCGCTGCAGAAAGGGAGCTGCCTGCGGGTTACAGTGGACAAGAAACTGAATATAAGCCAACAGTGTGCCCTTGTTGTGAAGAAGCCTAACAGTATACTGGGCTGCATTAATAGAAGCATTGTCAGCAGACTGAGGGAGTGATTCTCCTCCTCTATGTGACACTGGTGAGGCCACACCTGGAGTACTGTGTCCAGTTTTGGGCCCTCCACTACAGAAAGGATGTGGACAAATTGGAGAGAGTCCAACAGAGGGCAACACAAATGATTAGGTGGCTGGGGCATACAAATTATGAGGAGAGGTTGAGGGAATTGGGCTTATTTAGTCTGCAGAAGAGAAGACTGAGAGGGCACTTGATAGCAGCCTTCAACTACCTGAAGGGTGGTTCCAAAGAGGATGGAGCTAGACTGTTCTTAGTGGTAGCAGATGACAGAAAAGGTGCAACAGTCTCAAGGTGCAGCAGGGGAAATTTCGGTTAGCTATTAGGAAAAACTCTCACTAGGAGGGCAATAAAGCACTGAAACGGGTTACCCAGAGAGGTTGTGAAATGTCTAACCGTTGAGACAGCTAGACAAAGCCTTGGTTTGGATGATATAATTAGTAGGGCTGTGTAAAGCTTCAGTCCCTGATTCGATTTGGTGGAGATTTGGCCTGATTCGATGGCCGAATCTCCAAATCCGAATCGAATCAGAGGACCCTTTAATCTCTTTGAATTGAATTGGAATCCTCCAAATTGATTCAGAGAGATTTGGAAAGATTTGGAGGTTCAGACATAGACACAGCTTTAAATGTTTTTTCTACATACCTCTAGGTAGCAGGTGGCTCGTGAATGCTGCAATGCTGGGGCACATGGAGTGCCCCACAGGAGTGCAGGGGGCTCCCCAGCATGCTTGGCAGCTGACCCAGAAGTGGACCAGAAGCACTTCTGGGTCTGCTGGAGAGCATGCTGCACCCCAACTTGGCAACTGGTGCCTCCTGGGTTGGGGGGGGGGCATCTAGGGTCTCCCCACGGCTGATTGCTGAGCCTGGGAGAGGCACGGGGGGGAGGGCCCTGCATGCTCCCTGGCGGACCCAATAGTGGATCAGAAGTACTTCCAGTCCACTTCTGGGTTTGTTGCCTAGCACGTGGGTGGTTCCCCCGCACTCCTGTGGGACTCTCCATGTGTCCCAGCATTGCAATGATCACAAGCACGCTGATACCTTGAAGTATGTACAAAAAACATTTAAAGCTATGTCTGTGTCTGAATTACTGATTCTCTGAATCTGCATTAAATCTTCAGATTTGGATTTGGATTAATCGAATCAGGGACAGTGATCTGAATCAACTAATCAAATCACTGTCCCTGATTTGGGCTGAATCCAAATCCGAATCGGGTCTGTTTTGCACACCCTTAATAATTAGAGATGTTTCTGCTTTGAGCAGGGGGTTGGACTAGATGACCTACTGAGGTCCCTTCCAGTCCTAATTTTCTATGATTCTATGATCTAGGAGCCCTTGACACTCTTATTCATGAAGTCATGGGAGGTAGTCAAGATACCAGAGGACTGGAAATAGGCCAAAGTAGTGCCCCTCTTTAAAAAAGGCAAAAAGGAGGATCCAGGGAACTACAGACTGGTTAGCCTTAGCTCAATACTGAGGAACTTACTGGAACATATCTTAAGGAAGGTCCTTTGCAATCATCTGGAGGAGGAAAGAATGATCACGAGCAGCCAACATGGATTTATGAAGAATAAATTGTGCCAAACAAACTTGATCTCTTTTTTGAAAAGATAACTTGTTGGATGGATGAGGGGAATGCTATGGATATAGTGTATCTGGACTTAAGGCATTTACAGATTCACAGATTCATAAAAGTTTAGGGCTGGAAGGGACCTTGTGAGATCATTGGATCTAGCCCCTCTACTTTGGGCAGGAAATACTGCTGGGGTCTAATAACCCCAGCAAGATGTGCATCCAGTCTCCTTTTGACAAGGTCCTACCCACATGAGCATGCCATAAACGTATTGGGCAAATGTGGGCTGGACAAACTACTATAATTTCGATAGGCAACTGGCTTGATAGCCCCAAGCAAAAGGTAATTATAAATTGATCCATGTCAGAATGGCAGGAAGTTTCAACTGGAGTTGCACAGGGGTCTATGCTCTGCCTACTGCTGTTCAGCATGCTTATTAATTATTTGGATGATGGAATTGAGAGCCTTTGAGGAATTTTGCAAATGATACAAAACTGGGGAGGACTGCAAACATATTGGAGGACAGGAGTGCAATTCAGAAGGATTTTGACAGATTAGAAAGCTCGGCTAGAGCTAACAGAATGAAGTGTAATGCAAAGTGCTATACTGTGATAAAAGTAATGAAAAATATTAATATAAAATGGATGATACCTGGCTGGATGGTAGGACTATGAAGAAGGATCTGGGACTCTTGGTAGATCACAGACTCAATGTAAGTTGCAGTGTGACGCAGCCACATGAACGTGAATGCAGTTTTGGGGATGCATCAATATAAGTATTAGACATAAGACACAGGAGATGATAGAGCCTTTCTATTTGGCACTGAAATACTGTGTGCAGTTTTGGGCTTTATATTTTAAAAAGGACATGGAAAAGTTTGAGAAATCCAAAAGTGGGTGCCAAAATGTTGACCACTGTGGTCCCGCTGCTTTACCTGTGGCAGGATAGGGTGTTACATTTTGTGTTGTCAGTGTTGACTCTGTAGTTTTGTTAAGAGATTGGACAATAAATGTATGTAGGATAGTTTGGATTGGGATGGTCTTGCCTCAGGCAAGGGGTTGGA